AAGCCCATGCCAGAAGAAGCATGGATTTAGAAGTACCTCCTGTGTAGCCTTTTCAACTGAGCAGCTCAGGGGAAGCTTGGCACACTGGACATTTATAAAACAACTGAAAACTGTTTTTTTCCTTCCAATAAACGTGTGAAACTCTTCGAATTTGCTCTTGATGGCAGGATGTCTCGGGGACGAATCAATGAGGCTTTCAGACTGGATGATAACACACTGGAGTTTGTGGGCATAGTTCCAACCCTGGCCACACCTTATGAACCACCAGTCACCATCTGGTTAATTATATTTGGGGTGGTCATTAGCCTGGTTGTCATTGGAGTTATTGTCTTGATCATCACTGGGCAGAGAGATCGCAAAAAGTGAGTAATATTTTTGATACTATGATCATGACCATTGCGAGATGTCCCGATGACTGAATCATCAGGGTGCTCACAAATAATCTGCCAAATCTAACTGAAGTAAGTTAAGGAATTAAAGCTTATTACTCCCCTCCCACCAACAGTGATAGCTAAAGGTTGAGCTCCCTGCTTTTTAGTGCACAGCAGCTTTGGCAGCTTTGTGCAATTTCCCCATCATCATCAGTTTAACCAAGGCAGCTGGACACTGTGGCTACTGGGAGCCGCAGCATAGCCAGGCTTCTGCCAACCCCACACTTGCTGGGAACACAGTGCCTTCTCCAACAGCAGAGTTGTGCACATTCATTAGCACCTGCAGTTTTCAATAATCTTGTTGGAAGCTGTCCAGTAATGTAACGTTCCTCAAATACTGCATTAACAGCAATAGCTAGGTTGGTTTTCTATGTCTCTCCATTAATGGGGTTTCTAAGAATATAGTAGGTTTGCTACAGTTCCCCTTAAAACCAACAAAATTCCTTTTATATAAATATTCCCAATTAAACACAGTATTATTTACAGTAGGGGATTCTGGGGATCCAGAAAGATTTGAACAGAACAGGAGTGTCTAATATAAAATGAATTTTCATTACAGGAGAACGAGAGAAAGTAGGGGTGAAGCAGAATCAAACTGTGAAGAGGAGAACCCTTACAATGAAGAGGGAAAAAGCAACATGGGTTTTGAGCCGTCTGAAGAGACACAAACATCATTCTAGAAGACATGGGTACACCAAGGGTTTCTGGGTTTTTTCATTTCACTTTTAACAATAGTGTCTAGTAAGGACGAAAGCACTATGGATGTCATCAAACATAATGTCTTCTGGTTGACCATTAATCTGCTGGTTCATAAACAACAGCAATTAAATCTGCTGTTTATGTGGTAACTAGAAAACTTGCAAAAATTGAAGATACATATGTCCTATGGCTTTTCTACGAATTACGCGCATAATATTACACAGTATTTGTGCTGCTTTTCATAAGTGTGCTGCATCCAACTTCTCTTTGTTTCCTCTGTAATGAGATACAAGAGCTTGGAAGTATACAGTTGTATACAGATCAAGAGAGGCATAAAGATAACACAAATATTCCTAATGCCCAAGAGGAACATCTTGATCTTTCCAGACAGAGACCTCAAAAGTGTATCTAATAGGCAGTGAGAACAAAACCTGACCACCAGAAGAAACTTAGTGATGAAGAACTCAATTTGATATAAAAAAACTGCAATGTTTGCACCTTCAGGAAATCTGTATCAATGTAAAATGGATACTGGATGAAGACTAACAAGCACTGGAACTTTGTTAGGAAGTTGTAACATAAGTTATTTTTCTAACTGTTTGCTTGATAAGTATCGTAGAGACCAAATCACCCATGCTCCCTCAAAAAAAAAAAAATACTGAAAGATCTCTGTGTTATGCTGTCATCCAAAAATGGAATAAATTTCCTTAACACTAAATGATCAAACTTCCTTTTTTCTTTTTTTTCAGTACCTTAGCCATTACCTCCACTATTAAAAATACTGCATTACAAATACTGCGTACTACAAATACAAATTGCACTATGACATATGGTAGATTGAGGCTTGGGAGGTTCAAGTTGTACCTGAAAAAGAAAAGCTGCTCACAAGGAGGGTAGTGCAGCACTGGAGCAGGTTGCCTATTCCATGCTCTGGGAGAGGCTGTGGGTTCTTCACCTTTAGGAGTGTTCAGAGCTCAGGTAGACAAAGGTATGGCTGATTGAGTGTTGGGGACAGTCCCACTTGGAGTGAAAAGTTTGGCTAGATGACCTCCAGAGGTCCCTTCCAGTCAACATTAGTATGATTCTGTGTCTTGTAGGTCCTGTGCCATACCTGCCGTCATGCCAGTGCAGTTGTTCTGTACACACCAGGGCCACTGAAAGGCACGAGGTGTCTACTCAGTCCTGCGTTCTGACAAAGAGCCCGTAGCAAACACCAGCCTGCCTGAAAAACGTTCAGCAAATGCACAGACTCTTTAAATCATGGGCCTCCAAAATTATCAGAAACTGCAGAAAGCAGTCAAACATATACCTGAAAACACACAGCTGGACTCTGTGGGCTCACAAAACTAATGCTTTACACTCATTTCCTATTTAAGAGACAAGACCCTTAATTGAGACAGTTCAAAATGGTGGGCAGGTGATACTGATTAACTGCAAACTAGACAGGAATGTAAAGGAATGAAAATAATTTTTCTTTAAGTTGCCTACCTACACCACATATCCCATTGCCATAACATCCCCAAACCTTAGTACTTCAGCTGAACTTTTAAGATAAATAATTCAACTATATGTGGTCTTCCCACTTACTGTGCAGTAACAGAAAAAGGGGATGGCAAAGCTGGAAACAATCAAATAATGTAATTGTTCATGCCAGCTGTCTTCAGATCTGTTGTTAAGATTAACATTTCCATTAAGGCAAAGCTTTCATTTCAAAGCAATTAATTTTAAAAACTGTGCTATGAATCAAAAAACACCATGCAGAATTGTCAACACGTAAAGCCACTGAAAAAATACAGCAGGATGTTGGAAGAACAGAAATAAAAGGACGATGTTTTTATTAAAAAGAATCAACCACATGCATTAGCCCCAACAATACATCACAGTTTCTGTGCTGGGGGGGTGCCCACCCTCTTCTCATATCTTATCTGTGTCAGCACTCCCTCCTGACCCTGTCTCTGGGTCAACACGCCTTGGCCCAGCTCAATGTACAGGCAACACCATACCATGCCCTACCTCTCCCTCGCGGGCAGCCTCCCATGGCCCCCAGGCCTGTGTCAATCCCCACGGTCATTTGCATGACCCCAAATGCTGCTTTCCCTCAAACAGGTGCCCAGCTCCCCACGCGGACAGGGATGTGCTCTGCCAGCCAGCTTCCAGAGCCGAGAGCAGGCAACGCCAGCAGGCACGTCCTGTGGGGAGAGGCTGAGAGAGTTGGGGTTGTTCAGCCTGGAGAAGAGAAGGCTCCAGGGAGACCTCAGAGCAGCCTTCCAGTACCTAAAGGGGCTGACAAGAAAGCTGGGGAGGGACTTTTGACAAGGGCATGGGGTGATAGGACAAGGGGTGATGGCTTTAAACTGGAAGAGAGAAGATTTACATGAGATATTAGGAAGAAATTCTTCCCGGTGAGAGTGGTGAGGCAGTGGCACAGGTTGCCCAGAGAAGCTGTGGCTGCCCCATCCCTGGAAGTGTCCAAGGCCAGGTTGGATGGGGCTGTGAGCAACCTGGTCTGGTGGAAGGTGTCCCTGCGGGTGAAGGTTGTCCGTGCCAATGGCGGGGGGGGTGGAACCAGATGGTCTTTAAGGTCCCTTCCAACCAAACCATTCTATGATTGTGTGATTTCCTTCTCCCCTCTCCCTACATGTCCACACCCTCCATTTCTTGCTCCTTAGGTTCAGGTGAGCTCAAAGTGGAGCCTCAGAGGGGTCTCTGTGAGGGCTGGGCCAACTCCACCGGGGAAAGGGCAAGCAGACGTCGCTTGGACTCTTAGAGGCATTGCCCACTGCACTAGCTCAAACATGAGAGAGGAGAGGATTTTTTTCAGACCTTATTTTATTTTAAAATCCCTTTATTTTATACGTATTAGATCAGCATTTTACAAATGTCAGTGACTAAGTTTAGACTCCCTTGTTATAGTTATGTAGCTTCAGACGTATTTGGTATCTCTAGACTTACGGAATTTAGCACTAATTTGTGTAGTGCTATGCACATTTGAAAGTTGAGTGCTCTGATTTAAGTGTTAACATCAGGCGCCAAATTTCAGCCCCTCAGTGGCAAAATATTTGGCTAAGCAATTGTACTAATAGCATTTTCATTTCTCTTCAAATTTTTGCTCTTCAGATTTTGTAGAGATCAGCAAATTTACTGTTTGCTATTGCAATGACTATGGAAATCTGAATAGTTTTTTTTTTTTCTCTATTTTTACCTGTAGCATGAAGCAATAACACTCTAGTAAACATCTCATATATTGCTAAGTTGCAAATATCTTAGATAAGTAGCTTAGGATAAATTCCAAATCAAATGTACACCCTGAGGGCCGAAACTAAAGTCAATATTACTGGTAAGCAAACTGATATAAGATTTTACCAGTATAATTTCTAAGTAATTGAAAGTAAGACTATAACTATTTATGTTACTGTCACTTGCAGCAGTTCTAAATTTGACTTCAGGCATCACCTTGAAGTGATTACAAAGAAAAAACACAATCAGATGAGTTATGACAATCAGAAAACCTAACAAGCATATATTTCCCTGTTTACATTTCCAGTTAAGGCCAAATAATGACAGCTTGGAAGCACTGAAGGAGTGTACATAATTGGTATATATCTCAGCATCTGAAAAGTCTTTTGAGACAACGCTAACAAAATTAATTATATTCATCCACAGTGTCCTTCCAAATTCTGTTGCCCACAGAATGTCACAAAAGCTTTCTCCAAATGCTTCTTGGTCAACTCCCTGATTAAATGAGAACAACACTAATGTACAGAATAACAGGGACGGCTAATGTCAGGCAGATTTCAGATTTAGCTCTCTTGCAGAAGACAAGTGATATGGAACCAGCATGCACAGTCATCTGTTTCTGAATCTTCTTTTTCAAGCTCTGTTGTCTTCTCTCAGTGCCTCAAAAAATGATAAGAGCTGATAAAAGGCAGGGCGCTTTTCTGGTAGCTAAATGAAGCAAACATGATGGTTATCGTTATTTAATTTTGAAATCATTCGGAAACTGTAATTTGCATTAGTTTTTCTTGATTTTAGCATGCAGAAATTTGTAGAGACAGTGATGATTATGAGGTAAAGAAATTTACTTATTTGTCATAGTTTAATCTTCTTTTCTTGCATTAACATGTCCTCAAATATAAGTTATTTTTCTCACTTTTTTGACAATTATATTTAAAAAAAACCCAAAACATCTCTGTCATTTCATGGTATCACCAATAATGTGTCAAACTGTTCTTTGTTGCTGGTGAGAAACAGGTCATGGTCCACAGACAGCTGACTAACATTTAGACGAACAATAAATCAGGATAATTCTTGGCACAGAAGACACAGATCTCTCAGAATAAAATGCGCATGATCAGCATTTGACTTACAACTCCTAGAAGACTCACAGATAAGGTAGGGCATCCTTATTCTAGGGGTGGGGTTATTTCACACAACTTTAGCTGTCTAAAAAGGTAGAGATCTCATCTACATTTACTGTTTAAGATCTCTGTATAGGAAAGCAGATATCTTTTATAGTGTGGTGGCTAAGACAGAAAGGACAAATGACCATGGAGAGGTACCAGTAATGGTCCTGTAATCATGGAAGAAATTTAGACAATTAGCTTAGCTCAGCACAGAACATTTAAATCACTAAAATTAGGTGAGAAGAATTTCATCCTGTATATTATGTTGATGTTGAAGGGTATTATACTGTTCTTTGCTTAAATATATGGTTCTGAAAAGGAGAGAGCCAATCTTCCTTTATGCCCTGTTTCTTGTACTAACAATGTCCTGCTATATAGAATGTACTACATACAAGCAATGGCTTTTATAAGGGATATTTTATTTTCCACTATGAACATTAGTTTGGCTGTCAACAGGGATTCCTAGTGACTCCTGTTATTTTATTTTCTCCAGTTTGTATGTGCAGATACACGTACCTCATGCCAGCAGTTGTACATTATCTGGTAGATGATGTCTGAAACCAGTTGTGGTCTATAGAGTCTGTATCCTTGAGAAACTTTCTCAATCACCTGCATGTTATCATAAAGCTCATAGGGCTGCTTTCCCAAAGTGAACACCTCCCACATTAAGATACCTGCAAAAATATTCATGGCAGTGGAAAACAAGAAACAAAAGTCAAGAAATGTAGGATAACCTCTTTTTCCTGGAACAAGACACACATGCAACATAGAACCGATCAAACGCTTTACAGAGAATATTGTCCAAAGAAAAGCTCCAAAGTGTGGAGCTGACTAACAGGTGTGATTCTGTACTCAAATGTAAAACAACTTCTACTGCAGAAGAAGGTAAAGTTAGATGATAAAGTTAGTTATAAAATATATTTAATGTGGACAATGATGGAGAAAACCCAAGACATAGCTATCCATGGACTCAGTTTTTTACAAAATACATACAAACATCCCCTTATATATGTATGTGTGTGTATACAGAGAGAAGGAAGGAAAACCAAAATGACAGCTATAGGTATCTATGTTTTTACAGATTTTTTTAAAGTGAATGGGATACAAACAGCTTTGGTATCAGAAAGATTTCCAAATACTTGATAGTGTCAGCTACACATACCTATAAAAAACTGGATTATACTGAAGCAATAGAAACACTGGATAATATCATAATCATTAATTCATAATGATAGCTTTGCAAGAAACAATTTTTGTTGTAACTGAACATATGTGATAATGATGCCAACCATAAAGTAAAAAAAAAAAATTGTGGAATATTTATTTCATAATGATATGTAATACTGGCAGTAATGATTTTTTTTAAAAAGGAAATTTATTGGGTCTTTGACTTCCCTCCAGCTTGAAGACTGGAGCATAGTGGGATTAGAATAAAATGGTGCCTGAATCACCTGATGAGAACATTAAAAAAACAAGATTATTTGTTCTCTGACATCTGCTTTGGGATTATGAATACATCAGTTCAGTTCTTTAAAGCCCTTTAAAGACTCATTAGTTAGAAAAAAACAAAGAAGAACTGACAGATCCCACTCTCCCCTTGCTTTCACAGCATCAATGGATAGTGTTAAAATGAGAAAAGGCTTTCTAAGGAAAAATAATGTTTCTCATTGAAGTTAATGCCAATATTGAGGTTAACGACAATAAAGCCTGGAGCCAGGATTTCATCGGTAAGAGCAAAAAGAAAACATATCACCAGAAAATCCAGCTTCTGATTTAATCTTATGTATTATAAACCACTCGTGAAGGGCGTGAATGAGCTGTTTCTCTGCCAGCATCGTTAATATTGGGAGAATAGCTGAAGTTAAAGATAAGAAGTGGCCCAGCATTTGGAAACACTTTCATGTGTTTTATTTACCATTGTTCAATGTCAAGAACAGTGGGTCACCAATCTTTCATCAACTTGACAGCTGCCAAAATTTTCCCACTGGAGGAGAAAACCCATGTAAGTGGAATTTAAGCCCGTTCACAAAAGGCTCCCTTTCCTTTGACATCTTTTGCAGACTTTTAGAGACACTGAACAGACTCCAGGGATTTGTAAATCACAGCTTGAAAACCACTGAAGTAAAAGTTCAAATGTTTGAAATTCCTGAGTAGAAAGTGATCTGCAAATGCATCTTATTTTTGTTGAGATACAGAGTCCCAGCTCACACAGACTCTCTTCCACAACTGGCTTATGCACAGAGTCCACTCTGACCTCTGTGACTAACAGCAAAGCTCTTTTGACTTGGACAGCACTGATTTATGGTCTAGATATGCCAAAGACACCGTTTGATCTCCACGGCCAACAGTTTACTTTACTGTATTAAATACACATATGGCAACTGGGGAGCGGGCAGAGTTTCTATGTGCCTAAAAGGAAAACAGTACGGCTAAAAAAATCCGAAGAGGATAGGGCTTGGATGCATAAAAACATTAAACAAGAACATAAGTTGTAACTGCTTTTTACATTTCTTCAGTGTATAAATGTCTAGCATTTCTGCTTAGTAATCTGAGGAAATCCAAATGTAATGGTGTATTATGCACACATATTTGTATGTCAAACTCCATACATACCAAAAGCCCATACATCTGACTTGCTGCTAAATTTGGTGTAATGAAAAACTTCTGGTGCTGACCACTTCACTGGAAACTTGGTTCCTAATGAACTTATATACAGGTCATCCAGAACATACCTACAAGGCAAGAACCAAACTTGGTTGTGACCGAGTTACAGTGAAACGCTGTTTACTGCTTCTTCCTTGTACATCACAAGGTTCCTAAGAAAAGCCTGGACAGAATCTCAGATTTCCAAAGGACACCCGATAGAGGCATCAGCTATAATCTATAGAACAGATAACTACTATCAACTTATTAGAGAAATAATGCAGAATCATAGAAACGCCAGTTGTAAGGCCATCTAGCCAGGCCTCCTGCTCAAATAGAATTACTCCCAACATCAGATCAGGTCAGCCATGGCTCTGTGTAGACAAGTTTTAAAAACCTCCAAAGATTGCAATCTCGTGGTCTCCCTGACTGGCACGTTTCACTGTTCTACCACCCTCCTGGGGAAATAACTTCTCTTACTGTCCAGCTTGAACTTCCCAAGCTACAGTATGGGGCCAGTGTCTGCTGTTATATCACCTGGCACTGGTAAGAGTTATTTGGCTCCATCAGTTTTGCAACTGTAAGTAGCTACAAGCAGCTTTTAGATCCCCTCTTAGTCTCCTCTTCACTGGACTAAGCAACTGGCTCCCTCAGCCTCTTCTCAGAGCCCATGTTCTCTAGGCTGCTCATCCTCTCCAACTTCTCTCCATTGAGGCCGCTGATTAAGATGTTTGGCCCCCCAAATTAGGTGAAAATCTTGTACACAAAGTAAATGCTGAGATTTCTTTAACAAACATGAATAGTGAAATCTCTCAGTTGCTCTTGCCCTTTAAGTCTTAACTTTTTGAGACAGCAGAATGATTTTATTCTAACCCCATAACGGCTTATGGTCATTAATGGAAAGGAGGCACAAAGAGCTGTATCACACCCTGTAGCTTAACTTTCTTAACAGCCGTTTGCTAGCTGATCAATGCCAGTGAGCTATATATACACTAACAGCATAGCTTCACAAAGCTCCCAATGCTTTTACTTACCTAGTCATCCCAAAGTCAGATACTTTCACGGTAAGATTGCTGTCAACCAAACAGTTCCTTGCAGCCTTTAGTAGGGAAATGAGAAAGAGGATGAGTGGAAAAAATATAAAGAGGTAACTTGCTAATAATGTGTCTTGGTAACTTGCTAATAATAATTTCTATCCTCTAGCATTTCAATGAATAATGACATTCTTTGATTTGATTAACTCGGGAACGGTAAGGGAACAGTAAGTAGCTCTCTTATTTTACTTTCTGATTATTGATTGAAAAACATTCTGTATCATTATTCCAGCTTTACAAATAAGGACATTGAGAGATGAGGAAACAGAGATAAGAAACTCACATTCATCTAGAAAAACAGCAAGAAAGCCAGAAACTAAACCCTGTCTTTCAAATGGCGACACACTCCAAGGTCCTTTTCAGTAGTCTCAGAATTTACCAAGGCATCAAAAAGTGAAAAACAGTGATTAGATTATTCGCAATGTACTATAAACAGAGTGGAGCAATGAAAGGTGATTCAAGCAGCTTGATTTATGAAAAGTTCAATATAAGCCTAGTTCTGCAAATGATTACTTGAGAACATTTATCTAAGGCTGTATTCTCTGCCTGCATGCTTATTAATTTCTGTGATACAGTTTGCATCTAGTTTTCAGCCTGAAACCAAGCTCAAGTTTTATTTCTGTTTTCCCATTCTGCACAGCCAGTTTTCAGGAAACTGACTTTATATATACAACTTGAATTCTGCTACTTAAGTTGTCTGATATTCCTGATTTCTGGATCAGGATGTGAAAATCGGTGAGATATGGGCTTTAACAACTTTGTTTACACAAAAAGACAATTCTTTGAAAGCATCACCAAGACACATAAATGCTAGCTGAGGAGACTGCACCCCTATTGGAAAATTAAGCAAGTCTGTAATATAAATTGTCACATATCTTCCAACATATTTTTGTCTGGAGTTAGAAGGCAAAATACTGCTACTGACTCTGAAGCACAATGCACCAGAAATTTGGCTAGGTTCACTTTTAATAGGTCAATAAAAGAACAGTTTATTTCCCGCAAGAATGCTAGCATTCTTGAAAGCTAAGTTCTGCATAAACTTTAGCTAGAAGTCCTTGAAAGGACTGATGTCCTCATCAAAACCAACTTGAAATACTCTCTTGAAAACCGGCAGATAAATGCATTACAAAGAGCTGGGCAGCTGCAGACTTGAAAGTTCTGTTCCTGCTTGCAATGCACCACAGTAAATTCCAGTTTATCCTAGTAGTGTTCACACTTGTTTTATAAGAGAAATAGTCCCCAATTAAATAAATCCCCAATTCATTAAAAACAGTCTAAGTGACCCAAATCTTTAATGTTGCATCTCTTTCTCCTGGAGGACTACAGCATCATTGGACAGAACCCTTTACTTCAGAGGACTAATTTTAGAATTGGATGTCTGTGCTGGCAAGCGGTGCATAAATCCATACATGCAGGCAGCAGAGTATATAGCGCTGCAGACCTGTCAGCTCAGCTCTGAAGCACAGTAGGTTGTGTGCAGTGCTGTTTACATGTGGCTTTAGTGGTGCTCGTCCAGAACTGCCTTGTATTGAGCCAGCTGGGTGTCTCTTCAGCAGACTGCAGTGCTTTTTGGGGTGAGTGCCAAGAGATCCAATGCATCTGTGGCTGATCTTGAGGGGTAGGACTGCCTAGTGTTAGGTCATGCCCCTGCCTTCCCTGTTCCACTTCTCCTGTGGGATAGCTTACCAAATCTCTGTGTATGAACTGACAGCTCTCCAGAAATGCCATAGCATCACAAACATCATAACATATTTCCAGAAGCTGAAGTGGTTGTAGTTCCTTCCCATGACTCCTTAGGTAGCTAAGCAAACAGCCATTAGGCATGTATTCCGTCACTAGATAGATGGGATACAATTTTGAGCATACACCGTACAGTCTAACAAGTTTGGGATGATTTAGTTTCCTGAAATAAAGAAAAAAATAATCAAAGAATAAATAGATGTTATTGTGCACTTCTGTAAGTTTTGTTCTTCAAATATCAATGCAATGTACTGAAAGAAATTACTGAAATTGGATGCAGTCCCATCTCAGACTTCAAATATTACTTTTCCAGAAGGACTGAGTGTCCTTCTGCTCATTACTTTGAAACTCAGTATTGATGACAATCAAAAGAAGACTTAGTATCGATGAAATGACAATGTTATAGACAAAACCTGAAATAGAATTTAGCTGAGCAAAAGTGCTGCCTTAATGGTGGGAGAAAATAGATCTGAGTTGGTGGGGTGGACCTTAAACCTTAAGGCTTTCCAATTTTTCCATGTTGAATAATTTTCAGATTCAGAAGCCTGCTCGTATCAGCTAGTTAACTGATGGAAAAGTAATGCATTCCTTCAGGATACAAGGTATCAAAAATATTCTTGAATTCATATGCTTCAACTATCATCTCGCTGGAAATTCTAATGTCTTTACCTCTTCAGAGTCGGACACTAATGCTTCAAGTCTCACGTTCAATTTCCTGGTATTTCCTAGTTATTCATCTATCTCTCATTCTTATCTTCAGGATGGTGGGAACAGCTTTCTAACCATTTCTTTATAGATGCTAATGAAGCATAGTTTTAAGTGACAAATGTGGAACCTCTGAAGTTGTGGAAGAGATGTTAATTGAAAACTTTGTAGATGACCCTATCAATCTTTGTGAAGTTCTTGGTAATATTTCAAATATCTTATGTGGCTACCTATTTAACATGTGCCTGATGGACTCACCATTACTTAATGCTATTTTTAAGAGAAAATTCTCTTTCCTGTGTGTGCTCTACATTACTGATTGATGTTTGGAGAGATCATTATTTCCAAATAATTAAGTACTGCCATAGCTTACATCATGGTCTGAGCTTCTTCTATGAATTCATCTTCTGACATTGCTCCCTCTTTAATCATCTTTATGGCCACATCGTACTTTTCCTTCCACTTTCCCAGATGCACCACTCCAAACTGACCACTCCCTAGCTCTCTCAGCAGGACAATTTCTTCTCGTTTCAGCTCCCAGATTCCTGGTGAGACAAAAGGAATTTCTTTAGCAAATAAAAAAGTGGTCAAATGCAGGTGTGGTATCCGCCCCACGCAATGCTGTTGTTTTCCCTGGAGGGTTGCAGAAGCATGCAGCTCTGAAGCAACATACCTGTCTCTCAGCTTTGTGTTTGAGTTATGGAAGGAGACCACACTTCCTACAACTGTTGTTTGCTGCTGCTTAGATTTAAGCCTTATAAATAGATCTGAGAAAGATTTATGCATCAAATGGTGATATATTTTCATGTAGGAGATAGGAGAATAAGTATTACTGTGCCAGGTAATGTGGCAAAGGGAAAGAATGGCCATGACTTAGATGTGCTGGGGAAGGAAGCATGCAAAGTCTTGCACAGTTGATATAAGATCTGACATAAAATGCCTTAAAAACATAAAGTTGATACAGAATACCTTTGCATTCACCTTGCCCTGGATGTAGACTAGAAGCACTTATAGGAAGGGATACCCTATTTCATAGAACCATAAATTCTCAGTGCTACACTGGACAAGAGGAAACTACAGAAGACAATCCTTCCCAAATTCTCACATTGCCTCCTGCTCGACAAGTGGAAATGGCCACCAAACAAAGATTCTGTAACCTCCTGAAAGCCTGAAAGCATGAGTCATGATTCTCTTGTTATTCTTTTCTTGGTGGCCAAGACTGACACCAGTTTCAAAAAGGAAAATTATCTTCATACCATTTCCTAATGAAGCTGTGGTTGGGACTTTATTTCCTTGCGTAGACACTGCATGCCGGAGCCTTGTCACCATACCTACAAAGAAAACCTGTTAAAGGTCACAGTATACACATGAGTCTTCTGAAATCAAAGAAAATACAGGGAAACAAATACCTCCCTCTCCCTGCCATATTGCAACCATCCAGGTAATGACAGGTATTCAATATTCAGCAGCTGCTGCATCATGACACAAGATTGAAAATTTTGTGCTTAACAGCTAGTCCAGCAAAGGTATCACAAGAAGAGGTAGTACAATACCAAAAAGCAATGTACAGCAAAGGAAAGCAATTATATTAATTGTGAATATGTTAGATCAAGTTCTACCCAAACTGTCCCCCAAAATGGTTGAATATTTAGAGTATTCAGTATTGGAAGAGATTCACCATAGTGCTGAGTCCAGAAGCCTAAGCCAAAGCCAATCACGTAGAAAGAGCATATAGGATTACCAGCTGAGTTGTGCTGATGGTAGTGTATAAGCTTGGGAATGGATTCAAAACAGTAATTTTCAGCGAGGTAATACTTCTTCTCAGGGGTTTTGTGCACATGGTAATGTTTGACTGTTCCTTTCTTACTTCTGAAAGACATCACAAAGTGTAGTACGTATGAAAGCCTTGCGAAGTGCCTTCCAGCCCATGCATTAATAGATTAGTTAGTTGCTGATGAACTGCAATACTCCAGTTGGCCAAATAACAAAATATGTAGTAGATGTCACCAGGAAGACTGTTGCATTTGCCTCGGTCTGCTTTTTCCCCCTTAACACCTGCTGGCTATGTAGCACAGGCTCCTAGCACATTGAAGACTTCTGCTGCATACTGTTAATGTAGTCTGATGGTTAGAACCTGTCTCCCAACAGCTACATCTAGAGCAAAAGACTTTCATATACTGCCCTTGCAATGGTTCTACTTCTAATTTTGAAGATCTTCCCTTCTCCTTCTCCTTCCCCTTCCCCTTCCCGTTCCCTTCCTTTTCTCTCACTCTTGAGGCTCCGCTGTTCCTCTAGATTATGTGCCTGTTTCATGCCTGCATTTAGATAAGGCAATTCTAGGCCTCTGTTCTCCCATTCAGGGAGCCACTGTCATGTATGAATTCAAATAACTAACATGACCTGAATGTGCCTGAGGTTGATCTCTAACACAATGTAGAGATTTTGTTGTTGACCAGTCACACCAAGCAGCTTGCCCATAGCACACTCATAGAAATCGGACACATTCTTTGGATACTCACTCAGGAACCTTGCTGAACACAGACACAGTTTTTCCTGCTTGGCTAGATTTCCGAACCATAAAAGCGCCTTCTTTTCCCTAATTACAAAAAAGAAAAAAAAAGTTACAAGAAACAATGAGGTTGGGATTAATTTCAGTGAACTTTAGGCTTTTACACTGTAATGTCCACAAAGGAGAGAAGGAGACATGACTCATCTGACCTCCTTTAAGGACTACATTAGGACAAGATGAATTATGCCTGAGAAATATGTATTTCTCTCCACTAAAAAGAAGGTCTAGGTAACTGGTTGTGGTATCCCATTGTAAATGTTTAAAATTAGGTGAGTTGTACCCCAGCCCAGACATGAAGTGAGTAGTCTGCATTTTTGTTTTGGTGCACAGATACAGATTCATAACTGGGGAGATGGAGAGTTGTTAATCCCATCTCCTTCCTCATGTCCTCTCCAGAGGCTGTACGCAGTATAAGACCCAAACACTGCCACATACATCCCATCTGAATAAGAGCTCTATCCACCACACTCAGTCCCTTTACATAATGCGCTAGATGATTGATGTATTTTCTATTGTCAAAGTATTTCTGAATTACTGAATAAATAGAAAGATTTTCGTGCACTCTATTATATTTGGACTACTTTTAGTCTTTATGTGGTACTTCAGTCCTAACTTTCACTATCCACTTTTACTTCTGTTAATAGTTTACCATACCGGGCTGGAAATGGTTTTCAGAGTTCATTTGAATGGCTAGGAATGGCTATTGCAGGGAGGAAAGAAGACATCTAGAAGCTCACATAAAGGCCAAGGTTCATTGCTATGAAGTTCAAAGGAAATTTCATGTTCCCTTAAAGTTAACTGGTGTCAGGAGTATCCAGCACCTTTTGGGACTGGGACATAACTGCCTTTCTCCAGTGATTTACCACACTTGAATTTCATTCCTGAATCTATGGTGCAGGTCTAAGGGAAAGGACACTGAGGGTCAGGTTATATCAAAGTTTTTAGTGGCTGAGATCCAGTAAGACTGCCTGTGAGAAAGCAGCAAGCCACAAGAGGAAAACGTCTTTGTACAGTATGTCCAAGGGCAAAGCATGGCTGAGGCGGGGTCTCCTCTAGAAAGGTACATGGACAAATATTTCTGCAGTTGTCTGCTGTGAAGACTTGTACACTGGACTAGTCCTCTGGTGCTATCCATCCTTCCTCCTAGGAGGGCATCCAGCCAAAACTCAGTGGGCAGAGCACTGAGTTTGCTCAGGGTTATCTGCTTGTCTGGGTGAACTTCTTTTACTCCACATTTGTATACCGTAATCGTAAAACCATCACAGAGGATTCCTCTAGACTGACCGGCAGAAAGAGCCACACTGGAGCAAACAACACAAGCCTAGAAGTAAAACCAAAAAGCGGAGCTTTGAGGGGAAATGCACGCAGTTTGGCTTTGTTTCAAGCCTATTTTAGAGGTGTGTCATTTGTTCATTTATATAGAAGAGACATTTTTGGAGATCTGTTTATCAGTACCAAGTTAGCACAAGAATTTCTAGCGCTTTGTAATACTACAGCTATTTGAAGAGCATCAGCATCCTCTAGCTACGCAACATAGCAAAGACAACAGACACAGAAACATTTCCATGGATGTTCATATACAAGTGATAAAGGGTATGTAGGACCTTCTGATGGAGCAGCTGCTCAGACTGGGCACGGGAGATATTACCAGCATACCAACTGCAAAGAGAAATACTGGACTTATTATTCAGCGGCTGATTTCTGAATAAGGCACAGCAGATACATGAAAAATGCCAGACGTCGTAAATAGTTTCAAAATTGCTTTTAAAAGACAAAGGGTAGACCTGGGACTTAACTTGCATCTGTGATTTTAGGCCCTGAGATAAAAGGGAAAACACTAATTCCCACCTGCTCCCTCTCATCCAGTGGCTCTCCTCACCCTGAAATATCTGAGCCCACTCTGACTCTGACTTTTTACAGTAACTCCTTAGAGCAGGATTCTGCTGCCTTAAAGTTCTGCCAGGAGCTCTACCAGAAGGAGTTTGCTCTGTCTCCTGCAGACCATGACACAGCCATCTCCCTAAAAGCTGGGAGGTGCATAATTCTCCTCCAATCTTGAACCTTCTGCTTGTCATAATATTTAAGTAAACTGAGAGTTCCCAAATGGAGGAAACAAGCCAAACATGCTATGTTAGATCAGTTCATGGAGCTCCAATGAAGCCTTTTTAATAGCACTTCACTTTTATGAAGCATCCCTTTAAGTGTACAAGACTGATTTGTCTAAATGACTTTTTTTTTTTTTTCTGAAAGCAATTACATTCTTGCCTTTGGAAGTCTGTGGGCAGTGATGTTGCTGATGACAATATCTATAATTATTGTCACTATTATGACAGCTGTACATAGGATACCATTGGTACAGTGGACATGTAAAGTGGAAAGACAATCTCTGCCCAAAGAATCTTTTGGTTCTTATGAAGGTATATTCTATATACTCACTCATGCTTAGCAATACTCTGCTCTTCTGCCAGTGTCTGTTCACTGACACTCGAGTTTTCCCTGCAAAGACAAAACAACATGCTTGAAAATGTAAAAAACTAGTTATGAAAAATTCCTTCCTTGGGTTAAAAGTCATACTACACATATTTTTGAGTAGTTATGCCATGGTCTAGGGTGAATATTTCAAAAAGTTGAGACATATTCAATTGTCTGGATTTTTTTATGACTTGGTAAACACTTATACGGCCTTTCTCCTCCACCTCTTCCTGTTAGAAAGCCAAATATTCTCCATGCATGCTGTAACAGGCAATGAAACTACATATCCCTTTAGTGACTTTATGAAGAGCTTGCACCTACTTTTTCAAAATTTACATGGAAGATTTCCAAAACTGCACAACCCTAGACTTCCCAAACAAATGTTCTTAGCATGACAGACAACAGGAGTTCATGTGGCAGAAAAAGAGGCCTCTAAAATAACCTCTTGTGCAGAAATAATAATGATTCTTATTTATGCTGCTTTTTACAGGATACTATAAGAGTAGAGGTTTTTTAATGAAACCTCTGAATCTTGTCCACTATGGTTTACTATAAGACAATCTGTTATGTTTCTGTGAAATTTTCATTCAAATACTTAGGCATACATTTAATGCTTACAATGTCGTGTCATCTTGTTAAAAAGGGAAAGATGGATTTGATGTATCACTTCGACTGACCTGGACTCCCTTTATCCTGTACTGGACTACTCACATACATATAAAGGCACGATAGTGCTAGCTAGGCTGATTTAATGTTGAAATAAGAGCACAAAGATCGAAACCCCAGCATCATTGAAGTCAGTGACAAAACACTATTGATTTGAATGAAACCAGGATTTTCAGCTGATGTTTTTTGCATTAATATATGAGTCAAGAAGACAAATTGTATCTGATTCTATACCTTTCAGGAAACTTTATGCTTAGTACTCAGAAAGTTATTGAAAAAGAAAAATAATGCAGAAACACTGCCTAATCTTTACTAGAATGGTGAGGAAAACATTTAAGCAGTGAATTGCTGCATATTGATTCACCTTGGCTCATCATCATTCAGAGATAACTTTCTCAAGTAAGCACTTGGTACAAAGCCTTCATTCCTGCAAAATAAACAGTTCACAGTTAGCTATCATACACGACGACATATTAAATTTGGTCACTTAAAATAGGAAAAGGGATTAATCAGACAGTCACTTTTTAGAATGCTACTAACAGAGATGCTTACGGTTAAAACATTTCTGCTTTTACTTGCCATGTAGAAAAATACAGAAGTAATTTGTTTTAGAAAATTACATTTCAATGAAGTACTCTCTTCGCTAGTCATTGAAATGGCTTCTTCCTCCATGATTGGTTTCATCATGTGGAAGACTGGAGCAGCTGTTCAGCAATATCATTACATGCCATCTCAGTTGCTGTGATGAAGGATGCCAGTGACTAATGGGTGCCGTCAGCATATCCAA